CTTATGCCCAATCTAATTGACCCTCCTTCAATTTGAAACCATTATCTCTTGTCCAAAAGTTTGTTCCCATCTTTCTTCTAATTTCTGAAAGGCCACAGTGATACTGCATTCCCTTGTCCAGGCTGAACAACTCCAACTCTCTCAGCTTTTCCTCACAGGAGAGATGTTCAAGCCCACTGATCATCCTGGTGTCCCTCCTCTGGTCATGCTCCAACAGGTCCATGTCTTTCCTGTGCTGAGGATCCCAGTGCTGGAGGCAGTGCTCAAGGTGGGGTCTCACAAGTGTACAACAGAGGAGAATCTCCTCCCTTGACCTGCTGCCCACACCGCTTTGTTGGGTCACGTCCAGCCTCTCATCCACAAGCATCCCCAGTCCTTCTTGGTAGGGCTGTTCTTGAATATTTGCTGTGGAATACTTATTTACTGATAAATCTCATATTTGGGGAAAAAATGTCATATATAGGATTAACTGGGCAAGCTTTTCTTCTTTTTTCCCTGCATTAGCAACCATACTTGGATTATGATTCATAATGCTATTAAGCTCGACATCTACTCATTTTAGTACTTTTGCACTTACTTTTTCCAGTCTAAGCACAATAGTTCATGCTTTTATTTACTGCACTTGTCAGAATTCCAGACTTTTTTTTTTCCAACTAGAGATAATTTTGGACTGAGATTTGGAACTTACCACCATTCATCAAGAAGCTGCCACCCTTCATCTAGATGTCATCCACAAAACTGGCATATGTACACTCTATTCTGTCAGGCACATTGCTAATGAAAAATTAGAGTAGCAGTAAGCATGAAAGAGACTCTTGAAGATCTTGACTTGTTGTGACCCGTTGTTTTGACAGGAAACCATCAGCAGCTACTCTCACTGCAGTTCTTCATTCTGTTGTGCAACCAACTTTTAATAGTATCACCTGGACCATATTCCCCTACTTACTTGACAGGACTGTCACATAGGACTGTATGAACTCTTGTTAAAGCCAAAATATGTCACATCTATTTATTCCCTATTATCCATTAGGCCAATTACCCTGTCAAAGGACAAAATTAGATTCATTTGACATGATTTGTTCTTGACAAATTCATGTTGACTGTTTATTATCACCTTATTATACCCTAGGCCCTTACAAGTTGATACATTAATCTTTTGTTCTAGATATCAAGCATAGCCTAAATAGGATATTAGTCCTCTGGTCCTGCTTCTTTCCCCACAAATTTAGAACCATAGTAAAATACTGCAGTTATATTGCATCCTATCCTGAAAAAAATCCTTCACTGTTGTTTTAATGGAAGACCACCTTTTGAATCCTGACAAATCCATACAGTGGAACAATATATCAATTTGGTGATACCTTTGTTTCATAGAGATGGAAAAAAAATAAGGTACAAAACCAACAAATAAGGACTGATGAGCATCCCTGATTTGCTGGGAAATATTACTACTGTTGCTACTTAAGTAAAACAATAATTTCTGGCTCATATAATTGGAAATATTTTTAAAGCATATCATAATGGAATTCAAGCCCTGTGAAAACATCAGAATGTTGCCCAACCTTTCTTTAAAGGCAAACTGGGTCATCACTCAGCCATCTCATTAAATGAGAGGGGAGAAAAAGTTAATCCCTTTGCAAAAAATTGACCTTGTTTACAGATACTGATAACTATATAGCTTCATCAAATAATCTCATGGCCAAAGGAAGATCAAATAGTCAAGGCAGGAAAATTCAGTTAATGCTTTTTTTTCTTTTTTCCAAGCCATAAGCAGAAAATTTACTCCTACAGCTACCTATATGCACCTGAATTATCCTACTGAAGTCAGCTGGACTACATTTTAGTTTTACATCTTAGAAATACAGATTTAAGGTTTGCTACAAAGCAAGAATTTACTGCAATAGCTCTCAGCAGCTGCCAACATCTAAGTGGCAATACAGGCACTTGCAGCTAAGCATATATTTAAACGTTTCACCCTAGATTGAATGCACAATATGAGTCTAAATGATATATCTAGATTGTCTGAAAAAAGAATTGCTTGAAATGGACTCCACAAAACCTACCTCTGCTGTTCTAATGTTTTTGCTCAGCATGGAGAGGCTTTGGTTATTTGCACATTGCTCCCTTCCCTTGTATGAGATTTATTTTAAAAAGAAATACTGAACACACAGCTGTCATGAAGATTTATGGATAACTCCTTTACAAAGAAGCTAAATGATTTTAGACTATTGTACTGCCTTTTCTCATCTTTTTAAAATGTGATTTTGATACCATGTAACCAGAAAAAAAAAATAAAAGCTCTGCTGCTCTTAAAGAAATCTCTATCTAAAGGGAGAAAATTGTGTATTCTATGCAAAAAAGAAAAACCCCACAGACCAGTTTTATTGTAAACATTTTCATAACATTGTTGTGTAGCAGGCAAATGGAATTTCTGTTCATTACTCTCTGATAAAACCTATCTCCCGCATCTAAAAATAGAGATATATTGGTGGAATAGACACAAAGCCTTGGTTCCTAGACAGAAAAGTTATTTATTGTTGTTATGGATTTAAATTGTGTTCAACAAAATATGATGAAAATGAAAGGCAAGAATATCAAGTAAATGAAAACTTTTTCATGATAATAGGAGAAAGAATTACAATGTGTGTGCTTGCATTCATAGTAGAGTTATCAAAAAATGAAAGCTAACAGCTCTTTTTAGTCAAAGCATTTTTTTTCTTTGAATCCCAATATTCAATCTTTAGTTTACCACATTTTTGCTTCAAACATAGGTGGACATTTCAAAATTACCTAGGCAATGGAGAAAATAGCTCTGCCTATTCCACTCACATTGCAGAAAAACATTTCTAAAGTGCAGTGGAACTCTGACTACAGATTATTTCTTGAACACCTCAGCAGAGCACTTCGTGATTTGAAGCAGTAATAACTATAAGCACTGGAATGAGAAGACACCATCATAAGAATATCCACAAATTGCCTCTGTGTGGTAGTGAAAAGGGAAGAGATATCATTCCAGGTTAATAAATGGGTGGATTTTGTATCATAATCTCTCCATCAATCAACACTGTGGTTGCCTTAAAATTTAGACAAATAGTAAAAGTGGAAAATGAAACATACTCATCAAGAAGGTCTCTCCATTCTGTAGAGATAATGTTGATCTTAGAGAGAGAGGACCATTAAAACAACCTTCTAAACAGTGCTGGCTATTTGAGTTCAAGCTTCTAACACCTAAGGTGTGAAGGGACAGATAAATACCAGCTAGGCTTCCAAGAGTTTTCTGTGAATAGCTTAAATTAACAGATGTCTTCTGAAACCAGTTTTTCGGACACTCTAGATGGTTCTGAAAATGGCCTCTGCTTCTTCCCCCTCTCTTCTTCAGAATCCATTCTAAGAGCAGCAGAAAAGAACAGTATGGGATCAGAGTAGTCCTCAGAGTAAAAAGTATCTGTGTCCACTGATACTTTGTTTCTGGGTAGAAGGATTTTTACTTCAAACATTTTATCCTGGAAATTGCCTAGATCTTCTCAGCCGGAAAATTTTCCACTCCATATATCAATCCAAGTCGAGTAACTGCTAATGACTAAGTAACTTTACTGATATTCAGATCTTACTGCGGACAAACAAATGGTATATCCTCTTTGAAAGGAGATGTAACACTGAGGTATTTGATCTCTACGCTATATACTGTGTCTGGTTCAGTGTGGCATGCTTTTTCCTGCAACAAAGCTGAAAAAGCTGAAAATTTTGAGCAATAAATTGGGCTGCTCAGTTGGTAAGACCCACTGTGGCCCAGAGGTCTCCATCATCCCCTCCTTATGAATGACTCAGTATCCACAGTCCTAATTTTGGCATCTGGCTTCTAAACAGAAGAGTCTAATTTGATTCTTCTATTTTTATCTCTGGGGGACATGACAGTTCCAGGGAGAGTATTGCCCTTCCTTGCACCACTCTTTGAGAATTATGTCAGTGTTATAAGAGAAGATATCCATTCAGTAAATGGACTACATAACCTGGAGTTATCAGTAAAATTAAATATGTGATGCTGACTGGTCTGGAAATTCTGACTGAGATATTTTTGAAATTATTACCAAGGGATAAAAAGCTGAGAGGAATGAAAAGACAAGCTCATAGCTTTGATAAATAATCGATAAACTAAAAATAGTACAAACTTCATATAAATAGCTTCCTTTAAAGAGTCAGAAGTACACAAGAATTATTTCACTTCTTCCTATGTCTAGAATTAGGAAGGAACCTTGTGGAGACTTTCGAGTTTGACCTCATTCGAAGTGAAGACATTTTATTACTGACAGAAATAACTTCCATATTCAAATTACACAGTGAATTAAAGACAGGGGAACATTAGCTCCCACTAGCAACGCCCATGTGAAGAAACTTCCTGAAGAGCCTCGAACAGCAGAAAAAAATACACTTGACTATGTCAGGTTTGGTCTGGGTATACAGTTATTCTGAGAAGGAAATAGGAGAGCTAAAACCTAAGAGGCTTTTCTGTGACACAACAGGTTTTACAAGGCAAGGAGCACCGCAGCAGAGCTCCCTTGGGTGATTATGGGAGACAAATTTCCTCAGTGTATTAGAGACCATCTCCAGTTCAGCTTGTTCTGTTTCGTTGCTGGAGGAGTGAGAAGATGCAAGGTGTGAGCCAACTGAAGGTAAACATAACCAGGACTGGTAGAATAATTAGGATACAGCAAATATACTAGCATTATTAGCAGTAATGGATCAGTCAATTTTTCCTGTTTACACTCAGGGCAGCACAACCGAAGTTGATGAGCTTACAGGGATATATTGGCAGGGAAAATCTGGCTGGGTGTATAAACACTACCAAGCCATTGTGCTCATTTGAAACATCTACAGCCTTTTCATCTGCTGAGCAACAAACTGAAATCACAACGTTTCATTTAGGTTCAATTTCTGAAAATTATGGCACATCCTAGAAGATAAGTACATATTTCTAATCTGATACAAAATGATCGACTTACATCAGAATTGAATCTCAGCTGGCAAATGTTGCATGATATGATTTGCTTTCTTCGATGAGGAAGAGGAACTCCAAACGTATGATTTATTACAGCTTTTTGAATTGGGTCCATCTGTGAAGAGAGAAGAAGAAAAATAAAAAGCTTTTGCTGTTCCACTGTGAAAAATGATTAATGAAAATGTGAAAGAATATTACGTACATACAATTTTAGAATATCACACAATACCTCAGTATTATCAAATAATAATAATATCTCGTGAACTAATAAATGAATCTCTTCCTTGAAACATCTACACAACTTACAAAAGATACAAATCCTCCAATGATTATTTTCACAGTCATTTGGAGGAAACTATTTTGAATAAATTTTAAGGACGAATTTGGACTTTTATGAAAAAGATTATTTTGAGCTAACTTCTACCAGAACACTGATCTGATATTGTCTGCAAATCAGGTTCTCTATTAAAAAAAAAAAAAAGTACCATCTTGGCAGAGAACTTCATGAAAACTACTTGAGGGACTGTTTTATTTGAAGGATTGAAATAACTTTTCCCAAATTAACTGAACAAAATGCTCCTATTTCTTTTTCACAAAAACCATTTGATATGTACTTTAAAAGTCTGATAATAACTTTGCAACAACTTGGTTAAGTTGCTGATATTGTTTATCTTAAAATTGTTTTTAAAAAATCACATATTTTAACTAATTTTGATAACCAGTATTCACAGGGCATAATCACTGTATGTCATGAAAAAGACAGCATCTTTCTCCATTCCCATGTCTCCATGGTTCACTATTTTCTAGTCTGTTGGCAAAGGGTTATTTGATAAATAAAGAATCAGAGCTTCTCCTTAGAGTAATCAATTATTCATGAAAGCTGTAATGGTAGAAAGTCATGGCCTCTATTGCAGTGAATCCAGAACAGATCACTACAGAGTTTTTGCATCACCTGACAGCTGTTCAGTGTCAAATATGAAATAGGTCTTTAAATTAATTCTTGTTGAAAAGAAAATAAGATTGGTAAAAAAAAAAAAAAATTAAACACACAGACACACAGAACCCCCCCAGACAAACCAAGGAAGACAGCAAAACTTTATAGAATAGCAGAACGGTCTGGAAAAAATTCTCAGTTTGAGTATCTTCAATTTGATGTGAAGCACCTCATACATTTGTGCAGCAACCAGCATAAAAGAGCACCAATCCCACCTAGAAATGAGGGATGCCACTGTAGCATAACCCCCAAATAACACTGATGACTAAAGGCAGAGTATATCAAGCTCTGAAAGATGACAGGAACTTGTATAAGACTTTCTGCAGTGATCAAACCATGCTCTAGGAGCATTCATTTTACTGAGTAACATGATCTTGAAAAAGCCCTCAATCCAAATATACTGTTATATAGACCAAAAAGGACACCACCACATAGGAAAGTAAATAAATTGTAACAGCTCTTCTTTTTCAGACTGCTCCACTGAGAGGTGGATTCTTAGACCAGCAGAATTAATAGACCTGTATCTTGCTATTTTTAACACTAAAGCATGACACGGCCTTAACTGATGCCAACTCTACGCTGCTTGAGTTGGGAGAAATTCTGTTCCTTTTGCCACTGCAGGTCTAAAGCAATTAGGGAAATCTGAACTTCAGATATATGGGTAAGTCAGCACAGGATAACAAGAAATTGTGCATTCTTTGATCCAATGTAACTGTTTGGCTTCACATTAACCACAGCTGTGAGATTCTTTAGAGAGCTTCTTTGTTCGCTTGCTCAAGTTATGGCGCTTGTCAGACGATGTGAGATAATGGCCTTCAGTGTTACCATGATAATCTTTCCTACTATCACACAAGTGCCCATTATCTCACAATGACTTGAGAACGCCAAGAAAGAAGAGCTCTAAGAGTTAAACAAAAAGGTACTATCATGGTTCACAAGATGGAAAGACTGATTTTTTTTTTAACTGGATTCACCTATCTTCAGAGTTAAGTATTCTAGCTCCAAATGAGGTTGGATTTCTGAGGCAACTGATGCATTCATATTGGGAATGAGACAAAATAATTTTTAGAATTAAAAAGATCATGAATATGTAGAATAGTTGCTCTATGCTATACTTAATTTTAATCTGGTCTCATGGAAAAAATGTGTGGTTTCTTTCCTAATAAGACCACAGATTTGCTCTTGTTTATCTGCTGATAGAGAAACCCATTGGCACCCTTCCCTTCGAGTTTTAAAGATGTAGACTTCAGCATACAACTACATGGCATTACTGTGAATAGGATGATTTGCATTTGTGGCTCTACATGAAGAAGTGTTCTGGATAGTTTTCAAATTAATTAAGAAAAACTGCTTCCAAATTATAATCCCTTCTCTGCCAGTTCACAGAATCATAGAATTGTTTGGGTTGGAAAGCACCTCATAGATCACGTATTTCCACCCCCCAGCCATGGGCAGGGACACATTCCACTAGACCAGGTTGCTCAAAGCCCCATCCAGCCTGGCCTTGAACACTTCCAAGGATGGAAGAATTGTTCTTTGATACTGCAAAGCACAGTTAAACTTAAAAGCTTAGCACCAGATTCTAATAAGGTTGGGATAGAATGCTTGAGGGGTATTTAACATTATTATTTTTCACTGGAGATTTCATTTGGGAAACATCACCAATCCATAAATTCTAAATAAACATCCAAAAGCATCAGATAAGCTTCCACAAGTTTTATGCAGGAAATCTGAGAGGCAACAGGATACTTAGGTGCAGTGTGATAAGGACTCAGATCTCACAGATACTGGAAGACAGAGAGGAGACCTGCTGAGAGTCAGAGGAACAGAGCTAGCTGATTGCAGAAAATAGAGAGCAAGAATTGCAGGGAAATATAAAGAGGGAAATAATTTCATATAGCTGAGAAAATCAGCAAGTTTGAGATACTTTAAAGCATCTTTAAGCACTTCGAGGCTTACTGAACATTACTAATCACATATATACATTTTATTTCAACTTATGTAAGTGGTATGCACTTTCAAAATAAAGGTTATCATGAAAAAATTTGATAAAGTCTGCTTTTTACTCATCGCAAGTGCTATTTTACAATCCTGGATTTCATTCCTTAGATGAAACTCATTTAATTCACTCTCATTTAAAGTGAAGGACAGAGAAGTTTGTATTTCACATGGAAGATTATCATTCAGATGTCAAAACTGTGTAGAACACCAAGGCTAGCAAGATATTCCTTTATTTCCTCTTGAACATATATTTGCACTGTAAGTTACAACACAAAGAGAGTTTGCTCTGAGAGCTGCACTGTGTTTGACTTGTCCATCACCATTTGCCTTTCTACTCTCCAGCATCAGATATTTTCTGTATGCTACACTATTCCATGTGGTCAGTTTAGAGATTGCACAGTGCTCAAGGTTTACTGCAAACCACAAGATGACTATTAGATTGGGCAATGAAAATAAATATTTAAGTTAATTTTATTAATTTTTGGTTTCAATACATGCACATCAATAACATTGTCTGTGTTCTAATTATTCAAGCTGAAATTCATGGCAAGATGACACGATTCACGTTCTTTAATCAAATACTGTACTCCCTTCCCAAAATCTTCAGGATTATTAGGAAAATCCAGGCTTAAACCAAGAGCATGATAGAACTTGGCCCCTTACTGCATATTCTTAGTTTTGATCATATCACTATAATGTGGTTTTGGTTGTTTTAAATTCAGTCTTGCCAGACCTATGATATTAACTGTATTCCTTGTTCTTGTGCTTACTACAGAGCATGAAAATGCTCTTTATTTTGTGGACTGAAGGTGAAAGTAGTGGCTGTTGCATGAACTTTTCTGGAGAAAACGCCTACCACGAAATCACTAAGAAGCTGACCCAGGAGATCCCTTGTTATCCTACCTGCCTGGGACACTTTTCCAGAATCACCATAGAAGCTATCTTTGAAGGCTTTCTGTAGCCAAGTATTCATCTCATTAAATTTTCAGTAAATATCTGTGTAATGCAGAACCTAGGATGGTATATTTTACATGAAGAAAAATCTGATTCTTTGGAAAGTAAATCTTACATATTTTTCCACAAATAATTTCTGTGTTTTTGCACGTGTGTGTGTGTGTGTGTGTGTGTGTGTGTGTGTGTGTGTGTGTGAAGAATTGTTTTATGCCGAAGCTGAAATTCAAAAACTGAATTTCAAGAAATTTTTAATATATATAATTTTTATTACTTTTTTATGTGACTTCTTATCCCAGGGGCATAAGAATATGCCTTAAAAAACACCAACAAAGCAAAAGCAAAGGAAAGCATGCAAGCTTGATCCACAAAGGCTCAAATCACAAAAGGGATATAAATTAAAGGAACTTATTTTCTAATTTTGTATTGAAACCAAAAGGCATGATATAAGCATTTCAGATGCTTGAAGTTTGCAGTAAATTAATTGAAGTTCACTAATGTCTATAAATAAAAGCATCCAGGTCAAAGGATAAGACCACGTGGATGCCTAAAGCCTGTTTCAGAGCATATGGTAGGCCTAAAGCAATCAAATAAAGAAGAAAGTATTTTTACCTCAAGACCAAAGAAATTAGCTGAAAAAGATTGACTCAGATCACTACGGTCTTATACTAAGTGAACAGAAAAACATTTCAGGTCATTGAAGCTCTCAGGAAAAAATTGCTGTAGACCATTTTAGACGTAATTTTTTAAAATACCCACCAAAAGTCTGACTTCCATTACTTGAGCAGCTAAGTGAATTTAGTGGCACAGCTTCCACCACCTCCCAGAACCTCTTAAAATCCAGATCATAATACATTTGATAATAATAATACAATTAATATTGGGCTTATTTGGCCTCATTTTGTTCTGACTAATACATACGTTTGTCGTAATCCAGACCAATGGCAAGAAACTATAGTCATAAATATATAATTATATACATCTAATTATAATGATTATATACAATTACTCATAATATAATTCCTTTAATGTTATTTTGATTGTAACATTGCACTGTGTTAGGGTTGTAATATTGATAAGAAATAAAGATAACTCAGCATGGGCTCCTTTCATTCATTCTCTTATGTTCCAACAAACAGTGAAACTAATAAAAGCATTGGAAACAGTTT